TCATAAATGGCATTACATACCAAGTCAGTAAGTACACTTGATTGGTATTCCAGCTCCCCGAAGAGCAAGAGTCCGAAGTCAGAGCAACCCCCCAACTGTCATTCATGGGCATCACTTATTCCTCCTCCAAAAATGCCTCTAGCAATTCTTCGGCTCTCCTCATTGTTCTCCTCCTTTCTAAAGAAGATGCCCTTACAGACTCACGAAATCAGTTCCAGTTCCAGTTCCAGTTCCAGTTCCAGTTCCAGTTGCAGTGCCCGTGCCGGTGCAGCACCCGGTGCCTACTGCTGTGCATGCGCCAGTGCCAACGCTGATGCCTGTGCTGGATGTACTGCCAGTCCCAATGCTGGTGCTGGTGCTGGTGCTGGTGCTGGTGCTGGTGCTGGTGCTGGTGCTGGTGCTGGTGCTGGTGCCACTGCCGCTGCTGCTGCCAGTGCCACTAATACAAGAAAGCATTTCCACGGTCAGTCCCAGCAACAGGCATCCCCCAGGCCACTGCCACTCCAATAAAGTGATCTCAGCAGCCTAAGGGCTACACTGACCAACCTCCTCCGCCTCCAGGTGAGCTATGGATCCTCCCAATGCCAAGCCTTCCTCCATCTACGAGTCCATTGGCAGCAAAACAAGACAGCACACTTGGGACAGATTCTGGTTCAAATCCCACTGCCCAACACCTCCCCATGCCAAGTCTCCCTGACAAAGCAACTCTCCCACTCCTGCTTGATAGTTCTATTGTGTAGTAGCCACGGAACCTGCCACCTCTGTCCCGCTCAGCAATTTTCAAAGAATGTTCGATACTCGCGGCACGTGCGGCGCAGAGCGCAGAGCGCAACCGGCGCGCGCACGGCATGCAGCGCATCGGCCAAAACAGGGATCGTGGAAAAAAAAAAAAAGTTCGGGGGGGGGTGGGAGGCCCGGAGGGGTACCGGGAGAAATTGCTAACGTGGGCATGAAAAAAAAATTTCGGGCCGCGCGGAGGCCCGGTAAAAATTTTGGGGGGAGATCCGAGTAGTTCGTTTTCGAACTACTCAGGCCTCCCCCCACGCCGCCGTTGGGCACCCCGGCACTTCACTGACCTGCCAGTTGTGCCTTGTCTCCTTGGCGGCCGTCGTGTGATCCGTTTTCGTCGTCGTTCGTCGTTGGTCGTGCCCGCCCGTCACCAGCAGCACCAGCCAGAGCAAGAAACAGGAGGCAGCAGGAGGCAGCTGGAGCACGCAGCGGGAGCGAGGAGGAATCACCGAGCCGCTTGAGGTGGGTTGCCACCAGCTCTCTCTCTCTCTCTCTCTCTCTCTCTCTCTCTCTCTCTCTCTCTCTC